CGACTTTATTAGGTACAATAAATTTACAAAAAATCTACCTGCGCGTTTCTTATTTTGAAGAGTGTACATTCAAACCACCCTCATCTTAGCTCAGCACACAAGACCTCGCACTGGCAGGAAGCCATATTGGAAGCCATATTGGAACTAGTTCCGTGCACGTGACTGTCACATGACACAAACTGTGTCTAGTATGATTGTTTAGATTTTTCCATCATATTTTGGCTTCAAATCAATGTGTATTCTCCTTTCTGTTCACCACGGAATAACCTGTCTTTCAAAACGGCTGTCGTGTCATACGAATATATATGCGACGGGATTTGGCGTTCCATGGTTTACAACGCAATCACTCAAAACCGCTACATCACATATGGACCCGTGAACCAAAACTTGCCGTGAAAGGCGACTATGCTTGTCGTATGAGGCGACTAACGGGATCGGGTGGTCAGGCTCGCTGACTTAGTTGATGCATGTCATTGATCCCAATTGCGTGGATCGATGCTCATGTTGTCAATCACTGGATTGTCTGGTCCAGACTCGATTATTTACAGACCGCCGTCATATAGCTGGAATATTGCTTAGTGCGGCGTTAAAAAACCAACAAGCCAACCAACCATTCAAATATAATTGAACAAATGCAAACCCCTTTCCATAATCAGAGTCCATTGTTTATCATGAGCATGTGTTGATGAATCACTATCAAATAATGATGGTACAGGAGACAAGCTTCACATGTGCCCGAGGTATCCGGCAGGAAGCGGAAAACGCCGAGTGGACCGGTGTAGGCTATCCTCCAATCTGACTATCATGCTAGTGTCACTGTTTGATAGACAGACTGACAGGTGGCATAAATAGAACAAGCTGCATCTGTGATAACGTATGACCTTAGCTTAGTATGACAGAGGTTTCCAAGTATCAGATATCATAGATTGTCTGCATACATAGGTCATGGAATATATGTGGCTGTCATTCAGAAACGTGGTATTAGATTTAAGGTCATAGTTGGACTTAAGACGAAATGTAATTGACTGAAATCATTATTGTCATATTTAATGTATGTATAAATCTTAATCTAAACTATTATAAAATATATATATGATATTATAGTGAGTGAGTGAGTTCGGTTTAACGCCGCTTTTAACATTATTCCAGTTATATCACGGCATGTCAGCTTATTGTGGTAGGTAAGGCCCAAGTAATGCAGGTGAGACGTTTACCACTTCGGTGAAACCCACGAGCACGGGTATGGTGCTGACAAACCTAGAAACATAATTGGGGCGAACCTGGATTCGAACCCACAATCATAGGTTTCTGGCGTGCCCAAGGGACGCAACTTTGCACAGCGAATCGCGGCGCCTTAGACGACTGGACCAATCGTTATGATATTATAACAATTATTAACTACGATTCATTTTCATTCGATATTATGACATTATATAACGCTTTTTAATTCATCCAATAATATATACTAGCACCAGGGCGGTGGGGTAGCTCAGTGGCAAACGTTCGCTCGTCACGCGGAAGGTATTGATTCGATTTACAATATTTGTAAAATGTTTGAATCCCATTTCTGGTGTCACCTGCCGTGATATTTGTGGAATATTGCCAAAAAGTGCGTAAAACCATACTCACTCACTTACTCAAACGTAATACTAGTATTACGTATCTATCAAATATAAACTGTACCACCATACTCACAACTGCATCCAGCAAATGGGTATTGCAGAAAACATGTGATTGTTAAATTGTTTGATAGGCATTACTTAGAAGTTGACGGATGACAAGATAGATAACAACTTCTTCCATACTGTGAAAAGCGACGTTTCGGTATAGATCCTTATACCGTTGTCAAGCAAGACTGAATGAGGGACATAGTACAGAATTCAGTCTTGCTTGACAACGGTATAAGGATCTATACCGAAACGTCGCTTTTCACAGTATTGAAGAAGTTGTTATCCATAAAATTGTGTCTATCTTAACATGTGATTGGTTATAAAGCCCATCAAATCACACCAGGGTTTGCCCTGTAATGAAGCGTTTTAATTCATATTCACAGAGCCATAGGAACGCTTGCTTCCACGAATCGAAACAGATAACACGTCAACGGAATACGACACCGAAAATTACTTTCTCTTTCAACGCCTGTTAACTGGACCAGATGTTATGTCAGCTTATGTCATGGGTTTTGTCCGTCACAATGCACTTAACATAATACTGATCACTTTCATATATCACCAAACATGCTTGTATTCCCTAGCTACGGTCTGATATATTTTTTCCCACAACATTTTATATTGATATTATTAGACATATTAAATAACTTTGAATGAATGTCACTACTGTCGTGAAAAAAAAGCGACAAACCCTTTTCCATATTCTATACAAATGTCTGCTAAAAGCAGAGTCCGTTGTACGATTCCGACTATATCATGAGCTTGAAATAGTGATGATTCCAGGTGTTCGGGAAAAGATGAGCGTATCCTGGCCCACCGGCACCCGTCACAAAAACATGCAAAGGCAAGTCAATTGTTCACCTGAAAAAACACGGGAACTTAAGGTACAAGTCAAAATAGGGAATCGCGTGGGACATAAATTTGGTCACTGATGCGTCAAATCTGGAAATCCCCTGTGTAAGTACAGAGACATTGACGTCTTCAAGATACACTGTAATTCGCCGTCACAATACTAGTTAATCGTGTGGACCACTAAATAGGAAATGACGTGCATATATTTAGGCTTCCCGTAACACATTAAGCTGATACACCGTAATATAACTGACAGACTCCTCACAACTCATCCCCGTGAAGATTCCGGGGTAGAATAGGTCTTCAGCAACCCATGCTTTCCGTAAAAGGCGACTGTGCTTGTCGTAAGAGGCGACTAACGGGATCGGGTGGTCAGGCTCGCTGACTTGGTTGATGCATGTCATCGATCCCAATTGCGTGGATCGATGCTCATGATATCAATCACTGGATTGTCTGGTCCAGACTCCATTATTTACAGACCGCCGTCATTTGGCTGGAATATTGCTGAGAGCGGCGTTAAACAACAAACAAAACATTCACTCACTATTCCCCCTCCTCCTACTCCTTCCACTCCCCCCTATAGCCTGTCCCTCCTACCCCCACCGCCAGCCTCCCCCATCTTCCTTCCGCTTCCTCCTATTACAACCATCCACAGATTATTAAATAAAGCAATGTCATTAATCACATGGACAAATAATTTTATTTTGGTAATATCAACCTGTTCTTGAATTTTATGTCATATTTGCATTTGTCAATATCCCCTCATCGTATTGTAAAGTTCTTATCGATATTAAGTATTTTTGTTGTTAAATAGAGAATCTCACCCGAGTGTCTTTTGATATCAAATATATCAACACGAGTTGATAAAAGTGGAAAAATTCCGAGGCTTGCGGAGGATTTTTGTCACTTTTATCAACGAGTGTTGATATATTTGATATCAAAAGACACGAGGGTGAGATTTTATTTATCATCCAAAATCATTCTTCCAACTTTTTCAATTTGTAGACAGTAATTAGCAGTGTCTTCAGTGTAAAAAGTACTGCTAACAGCTTCAGTAGCAGAGCCATTAGTGATGTCATTTGATTGTGACGTCATGGTAACCAGTGACGTCACAATGGTCTGCAAAGCATTGTGATGTAATTTCATTGCAGCGATATCTACAGTGTAGATATCGCTTGATCTTATCCAAGCGATATCTCCTGTGGGAGCCAGTTTTGGATGATAAACATTTTTATCCTCCATTCTGTGAACATAGTACGTGTGGGGTGGTCGGGTAGCCTAGTGGTTAAAGCGTTCCCTCGCCACGCGGAAGACCCGGGTTTGAATCCCGATGGGTACAATGTGTGAAGCCCATTTTTGGTGTCCCCCGCCGTGATATCACTGGAATATTGCTAAAAGCGGCGTAAAACCAAACTCACTCACATAGTACATGTCAATAGTACTGCTATATATGCAGTGGTTACACAGAACTGCATGTGGTGAATGTGGTGATATTAGTTAAAATAGTATTGATCTGGAGTGTAAGACTAAAGTTGCAATGTCAGTAAGATTAATAGATGAAAACGTGGACAAACTCGTTATGGATTTTGGCGATTCAAAAAATATGATAAATTGAATAAATGAAAAGTTGATAGATGAATGAATAAGTGAATGACTGAAACTACTAAACAAATAAATAAATGCGTCATTCTAGAAAACACCCAGATGATACCAGGAGATAATACGTTAATAGTTAAACACACCATCCCTATACAATTTGTGACAGAGATGTCAGAATAAATACACTTGTTTATTTCGTCATACTTTATTCATCATTTATGATTTTAAATATTGGTGTTAGATTTTTCCTTAATACCTCTATAAAGAAACTCATTACGTTTTTAACTTATAGTTTGGGTCGAAAGCTTTGAATGGCCTTATTTTAAGTTTAAACATATCTTATTGTCTTAAAGACGATAAGATTGGACACACGTATTCTCCTTACATAGAATTAAACATAATACAACATCAGAGATATAAACAATTTACAATTTTAGAATTAAGAATGAAGTTGGAAATATATAATTTAAAAATAGCATACAGTGAGCATATGGATATGTACAAAGTGCTGAATAATTATAATAAACTTCTCATAAATATGCAAAAAAGAATAAAGTTAAGTGTTTAAATATGGTATATTATATATAGCCTAAGCAAACAATACACTGGTATTTGTTGTGATGATAATCGTTACTACTAATTAAAAAAACAGACAAAAACTAAACAACACAAAACTGGTTTCAAGATTATAAAAAGAAAATCCGATTTAATACTGTGAATCACGTTATTAACATGAGAAGTAACTTAAGCCTAATTGGTGGTGTCGACTACCCCGTTAAGCGTCAAAACCGGTTTTGAATAGTCAAAGGGCGCATTAGAGCAATGGAAACCACTACTGTAACTGTCGCTGCATTATCATGTGGGACCAGGTCACGGTGACTGGTGAATTGAAAGCTTGGCGGGTGTGTTGGATCGTGTAAATACAGATCCTGCACAGCGTGTTTCAGGTGGGCCACCGCAGTGACCTGTCCCCGGTACAAGCGCAGTACACATACAATTAAGCCAGTGTTGGAAGTGTGTCAGAGGGATAGCGTCGTGAAGGATATACTGTGGAGCGTAGCTGTTGGTGTCATTGTTTCTGTGTGGACGTACACTCAAGTAATCATGTGTTCACTCAAGTGTTTGATGAACGCGTTCAACGCGTTGTTCTTGGTGAGTACTGCGTTGTTCTTGTATGATATTGTCTTTCTGATGGGCGACAAGATCCTCTTAGTGTGTACAAGTACACATAGTTTTCATTTTAGCGTGTGAATGGCTGATTACATCTTTCCCTGAATATGAACATGTGATGAACACTGGTGAACCACAAGATCCTCTTAGTATCAACAAGTACACATAGTTTTCATTTTAGCGTGTGAATGGCTGATTACTTGAATGTTTGATGAAATTTGGGGTAAGCACGTGTCGATTAACGTTGCAAATAGAATATTAGCGACAAAACTCTTTTTATGATCATAAAGAATATCCGCTGAAAGAACAGTCAATTGTGTGACTCTAACTATCTAAGCATGTGTTAACGCATCACAATCACATTCAGATTATACAAGGTGTTCACTGACAGACGAGCGTTTCCTGCTCCACCGAAATGAAGCGTGTTTACGACTGAGTGAGGGTCGGGTTTACGTCGCTATAAACAATATTCCAGCAAGATCACACGTTGTACACCGGGGAGTCATGTGGAGAGCGAATACCACGAGCTCAGTAATCTAGTTAGGTGTGGAGTTGTGAGCATCACGACCTCGGGTTCATTTCAAATCAGACGTCATTGCACAAAGTGAGTGGGTGGGCAGATGAGTGGGTGGGTGGATGAGTGGGTGGGTGGATGAGTGAGTGCATGGCGGGTGAACGCGTAAACAGCTAGGCCAGCCAACCGTACCCCTGAGACATTATCTAATAAATTGTATATATATATATGGGACATACTAACGGTTAACTTGATATGGAGACAAAAAAGTTGATTTTGATGACTTTGTTATAAACTTGCTAGGACTGCAAATTGACACAGTGCGCAGTCTCCTTTTAGAGTATAATGTGACCATCCACTCTGTTTATATATATACATCTAATATATATATAAATATAAATATATATATATATATATATATATATATATATATATATCTCTCTCTCTCTCTCTCTCTCTCTCTCTCTATATATATATATATATATATCTATATATCACTACTACTACTACTACTACTACTACTAGTCTTGGTTGATGCATGTCACTGATCCCATTTGCGTGGATCGATGCTCATGATATAAATCACTGGATTGTCTGGTCCAGACTCCATTATTTACAGACCGCCGTCATGTAGCTTTGTGAAGTAAAACGCCGGTAAAAACCCATTATGAGTATCCCCTGAACAATTAGCGACAAGGGTGTAACCCATAAAGCTCATTGTAAATGCATGTTCCCGAAACAGGTGAGCGTGTCATGTTCTACTAGTATGACCCGCGACATGTACCGCGACCCAAGGTAATGTTACACACCGCCCTGTTCGTGTCCAGTAATAGTGCAGAGCAACTTTCCTACAGCCGAACGCGCGGGATAAAGCCCATAACTGATTGTAATTGACATAGCACTCCCTCTTGATAACAGGTGGGCGTTGTGTCCCTGCGGTGTTGCTGTCAACAATCCTCTTCCATAAATGTCCAGGGTTTCAAAAGGACATTTCCTCTCGATTACAGAGCGTCTTCAATCTTAATGAACTTTCCATGACGATAACATGTAATTAGTAATTGTAACAACTCTTAAACACATCTGTGACGTCATCCTATTTTTCAGGAATGGAGACTTGTTTGTCAACTATACATTATCTTGAAAAAACATTTGAATTAATTTCTACTTTGAATAGACAGAACTATGTTTTAAATCTATTGACAAGTGAATAATTTCATTTTTTCCGAAAATATGTGTCGCCAGCGGGGTTCGAACCCGCAACGTTTGATTTGAGAACGTGTAATTGTGAAACTCAGCTACGGCGTCACGTGAAGGTATTAACTATTAAATATTTTCATAATTTTGCATAATGCTAAAAGCTCAAAATAATATGTATATATTTTGTGTTAGAGCGGGTTATCTACAACAATGTTCATATTAATAGCAATTAGCAATTTGACGAGAGAAAAATAAATCAGGTAATATATATATCCTTGTTCGGGTCTCTATATTTCCTATTAATCCCATCTGCATGTATTGACAATGTGCAAGCGATTGATAAATACTAGTTTAGGGCCTAACAAAACTACGAAGAGCCGTGAACCATGCATTGTAAAAATCAGCTCGTGACCGAGCTTAGCGCTCTTGCAACAGCGACAGAGAACGTATTCCTCGTGCATCACGCAAGGGCGACTCACGCAGTATAAATACACACAACAAAGATTTCTGGGTTTTTTTCAAATATGTTCCACAACAGAATAGTTTGTCAAAATGTAAAAGTGGGGATGAGGTTTAAGTAGTAGAATCTCCTCGTAGCTGTCATTCTTTAAAAATAATGGGCCTCTGCTCCATTATTTTTAAGGAATGGAGAGTTACTCGGACTTTCCCATCTACGAATAAAATTGGAATTATTTTTTTTGATGGACTATCTGTTACAGAGCTAGTTTAAAAGTGAGTTTGGTTAAAATAATAATAATAATAATAATAATAATAATAATAATTAGAAAATGATCATAGCTTTTTCCTTAGAAATTAAAGAAGCATCGACTACTCTATGCAGACACATGCAACCATGTGAGCATTCTGGTTGACTTATACACATTTCAAATACAAGCACGAAAACACTTTCAATAATGATCATATAACAGACTTGCTTTATGTCGTGTTATATTACCGCAACTCAAGTCTTTGAGTGAGTGAGTGAGTTTGGTTTAACGCCGCTTTTAACAATATTCCAGTTATATCACGGCGTGTCAGCTCAATGTGGGAGGAAAGCCCGAAGTGATGCAGGTTTCAGACGTTTACCACTTCGGTGAAACCCACGAGCACGGGTATGGTGCTGACAGACCTAGAAACATAATCGGAGCGAACCGGGATTCGAACCCACAATCATAGGTTTCTGGCGTGCCCATAGGACGCAACTCTGCACAGCGAATCGCGGCGCCTTAGACGACTGGGCCACACGTGCCCCTCTTCCATCCTTTTAGGTCTAGACCCTTGAGGATCCGGGGTAGAATAGGTCTTCTGGAACCCAAACTTGCCGTGAAAGGCGACTATGCTTGTCGTATGAGGCGACTAACGGGATCGGGTGGTCAGGCTCGCTGACTTGGTTGATGCATGTCATCGATCCCAATTGCGTGGATCGATGCTTATGATGTCAATCACTGGATTGTCTGGCCCAGGCTCGATTATTTACAGACCGCCGTCATATAGCTTGAATATTGCTGAGTGCTGCGTTAAACAAAAAAAATAAAAAAATAATAATCTAAAGGTCTACATGTCACAACTTTTTAGATACACTTGAATATTGCTCTGTCAGCGAATATTTCAAGGGCATCATGCAACTCTTGCTCAAAAGTTGTTTGATCAGGGCAACGACATTCGAAGACTTAGTAAAGCTGTCAAATAGTGGGATGGTAGACATGTGGAGGACATTACCAAGTAACAAAATGTTGTGTGATTCAATTCCCAATATTGACTTGTACCACAGGTTCTTATGTTTTTTTTCAGGTGAACTATTTACGTGCATTTGCATGTGTTTGTGACGGGTGACCCCGGTAGGGCAGGATACGCTCACCTTTTCACGAACACCTGATAGTGATACATAAATACATGCTTTCATCATCTCAGACTCGTACACTGGGCTTAGCTTTCAACAGAAATTTCTTAAGCTTATAGAGAGGATTTTGTCGCTGTTTTTGTAAAACTTTGCCACGTTTTCCTATAAAGACTTACCGTGTTCGACATAACAAGCGCCCAGGGCGCTCTCAACAATAGAAATAGGGGGCTCTTATTAGAATATAATTTTGGTGAAAAACAACAGAGTTGAAAGATCGTTAATTTCGTTGTTTATGCTGACAGCCTGAAATGTTTATATACAACAGATATATTTTTCCAGAATTTAATTTCCCATTATTAAGGATGCATACAACACACGTATTATACACGAATAAATAATTCTTGTGTACATTGATCAATCGGAAGGGGTGATAATTGGGATTGTTCACTAGCAAATATATTAGCAAATATTGCCGTGGGCGCTTATAAGAGCGGGGCGCTTATTACGTCGAATACGGTATAAGTCCTCCTTAGTGATTCCGGGTTAGAGTTGGTCCTGATCAACAACCCATGCTAAGAGGCGACTATATGGATCGCCTGGTTGACTGCATGTCTTTGTGCCACGACGACGTGAAACATTGTTCATAATAACAGTCACAGGATTATCTGGTCCACACCAGATTATTTACAGACCGCTGTCTTATAACTGTTATGATGCTGACTGCGGAGTTTATAAACGCACATACAAACAAACACGAATGTTATTGTTCGTGTCTCTGTTTAATGAGTTGAATGTATATTGTTGCAGCTGATTGGCTTGGGAGTCACAGGTCTGGGCATATGGTTACGCGTTGATGCGGATGCAGGCAAATACATAGATGACTCCGACAGCTTTAATGCGTTGTATGCAGGGTCTTACGTCTTCATCGGTGTTGGAGCTGTCATCATCCTCTTAGCAATTATTGGAATCTGTGGAACCGTCCGAATGAGCCAGTGTCTACTAGTCGTGGTAAGTTGTCAGTAACATGTAGGTGAATCACAACTTGCATACCCGTGAAGATCCGGGGTAGAATAGGTCTTCAGCAACCTATACTTGCCGTAAAAGGCGACTATGCTTGTCGTAAAAGGCGACTAACGGGATCGGGTGGTCAGGCTCGCTGACTTGGTTGATGCATGTCATCCAATTGCGTGGATCGATGCTCATGATATCAATCACTGGAGTGCATGGTCAGCCCCACGTTGGGGGCCAATGTAGCGGCCATAAAATTGCCGAGTCCCGTGATGGGATTCGAACCACGGACCTTCTGATCCGACTTGTTTGATGCATTTCATCGATACCAATTGCGTGGATCAATTCTCATGAAATTAATCACTGGATTGTCTGACCGCAGTCATATTGCTGGAATATTGCTGAGTGCGGCGTTAAACAACAAACCAACCGAAGTATAATAATTTAATCTGATATATTGTTATATGTTTGAACAATAGTGCAATTTGTATGAAGTTGATATAAGTTTCTATTTCGCGTGAGTTCCAACAAGAAATGAAATGAATTGTGAACAAACTATGATGTCTTTCTAACTATTAGGATTCTTGGAGACTTATTGTGTTAATTATGATACCATATGATACTGATACATCTAATGATAATTATAGTGATAGTGATGATAGCATATTTATCATTTCAGTTCTTCATAGGTTTGTTCATCATCTCCACCATTCTGCTTGCGATTGGAGTGGTCGTTTTGACGCAAATGGATGTTGTGAGTATCATTGAGAGAATTTCACTAGCGTATGAAGCCATTCCTCAGTCTACAGAAAATTGAATCCAGTGATCACACACACACACACACACACACACACACACACACACACACACACACACACACACACACACACACACACACACACGAGACCGCCTCCGTGGTCTAGTGTCCGCCCGGAGAGCGGAAGGTCCGGGGTTCGATCCACGGCCGCGACATACCAAAAGGCGTTAAGGGATGGTACTTGTTGTTACCCTGTCTGGCGCTCGGCATTAAAGGTCAGAAACAAGAACTTTCGGCTGAGAGTCAGTATACTGTGTTATTCATGTTAAACTGCGCCATGGTATGTCAGTTGGCTATTAATCGGCATCAGTCCGAACAGGTTCAAGCAGCCACACACACACGTGCATGCACGTCGCTATATAAGTGCAATAACCTTGGACGCGATGTTAAACCCCATTTCACCTCACACACACAAGCACGCGCGCACGCACGCACGCACGCACGCACGCGCGCACGCACACACACACACACACACCATATCTAATTATATGTATCTAATTTAATATACTTACTATTGTTTTCAGGTGAAAGAGTCTTTTGGGGATCACCTAATGACCAAAGTGAAGGATTATAACAACGAAGATTCGAAGACCTATATGAACAATTTCCAGAATACAGTATGGCATTTTCCTTTTGTTCAAAACTTATGAGAAACATTGTGGGAAAATACAATTCAGATGAATGAACTAACGATTGAAATAAGGACCATACGATTTCTATATGTGTTTAATGGCGTATATTTTGACATAATAACATCACATAATAACAATTCTATGGATATTGCGGCAGATTTCATTCCCAAAGTGAACGCTACATTTTACCCCCTTGGATTTGCGTGCGCTCGAATTTTTTATTCTCAGCTCCCTTAACAAGAGAGTGATGACATTTTTTACTTGAACGCTTCATATTTCAGTTTGACTGCTGTGGAGCAAAACATGGTGCTACTGACTATGGCATCGCTATCGTGACTCTAAACACTGGTTGCAAAGCAGAGAATATCATGACGGTTAGTAGTTTGATTACTGATTATTTTCCGTATGAGAGGGGCGGTCGGGTAGCCTAGTGGTTAAAGCGTTCGCTCGTCACGCCGAAGACCCGGGTTCGATTTCCGACATGGGTACAATGTGTGAAGCCCATATCTGGTGACCCCCGCCGTGATATTGCTGGAATACTGCTAAAAGCGGCGTAAAATCAAACTCACTCACTCACTCACTCACTCCGTATGAGAAGTATTGATATGACCAAAGAAAAGGAAAACCACGATATTTTTTACTGTTTTTACAGATATTAAATGATCTTATTAATTATTTTCTGAATGAAAGTCTTCAATGGCTTTAATGTCTCCTGGTGCCATTATTATTTGATAGAGATTCATTAACACATGCTCATGATAAATAGTGGACTCTGATTATGGAAAGGGTTTTGCATTTGTTCAATTATATTTGAATGGTTGGTTGGTTGGTTGTTTTACGCCGCACTCAGCAATATTCCAGCTAAATAACGGCGGTCTGTAAATAATCGAGTCTGGACCAGACAATCCAGTGATTGACATCATGAGCATCGATCCACGCAATTGGGATCAAAGACATGCATCAACCAAGTCAGCGAGCCTGACCTTGTACGACAAGCATAGTCGCCTTTTACGGCAAGCATGGGTTGCTGAGGACCTATTCTATCCCGGATCTTCACGAGTCCAATTATAAACATATATAATGAATATTTTGCTTCAAATTTAATTGAAAACATTATACATTTTATAAATTAAAAACTTGTTTGCCTCTTCACACAACGCTGAAAATCTTCCTGAAACTTACATCTCTGATTTACAGCCTTGTGCGGACGCGTTTTTTGAAACATTGTCACCTAACCTCATGGTAACGGCTGGAGTCGCCTTCGGTGCAGCTTTTATTATGGTAAGTGGGGGTTGGTGGGTTCATTGCGCCAACACATAATTTGTTTCACATTTAGTCATATGTTGTAAACGCCAATCTCCCGTATGTTTCCCGTTTCCTTGGTTATAAGATATTCGTAAAGAAAGCCATCAAGCGATACTAAAAGGGTTGGAAGATCTAACTAACACGTGATCTAACTACGTCACATTGGAATTTCATTTCTGCACACACAACCACTGTTATAGCTCCCTCTTATGACTTAAGCGTACACAATAGGGTAAGCAGCGCTTGGAATGAGCGCTTGACGGTTACCTTTAAGGAAACTACAATTACCTTTATCTACACTGATTAAATAATTCCTTAGTGTCTCAGAAGTACTCTCAACTTTAAAACAATTGTGAACAACCACATTCCCGTATATTTTACGCTTTAGAAGTAACTGATACAAATCGTTAGTTTTAACCATTAGTCCAAGCATTCATTGGACACCCTGTGTCATTACAGATGATTCAGTGATCCATTCTTAGAATTTTCACTGCTATTTTGCCTTTTCCACCCAATGGAATCTGTTTCGGCAGTAACACAACACTTATTATTCTCTGGTGTTAACGTTTTATACATTATGTTGTTGTTGTTGTTTGTTGTTTAACGCCGCACTCAGCAATATTCCAGCTATATGACGGCGGTCTGTAAATAATCGAGTCTGGACCACACAATCCAGTGATTGATATCATGAGCATCGATCCACGCAATTGGGATCAATGACATGCATCAACCAAGTCAGCGGGCCTGACCACCTGATCCCGTTAGTTTTAGCTTTTACGACAAGCATAGTCGCCTCTTGCGGCAAGCATGGATTCCTGAAGACCTATTCTACCCTGGAATCTTCACGGGTCTTTATACCTTATGAGGTTAACGACGAGCTTCTGGTAATTACATCAACCAATGTCCATTGATAATGCCAATATATTCATGTATATGTCATACTGCTTGCACATGTTCCAGTAGGTCCATGACTATTTTCCTTCATTCACAGATCTTAGGAATGGTTTTGTCAATGTGTTTGTGCTGTGCCATAAGGAAGGAATGATTTTGAAGAGGGACACAAAGCACGAGAGGGCAAAAGGCAGCAAAGTTGAGAATCCAGGGATCGAGAGTAGGAATAGTTTCACCTTCTTTTGGAAGAAGAACAAGAAATCAGGTTCTTGGCAGTATTTGTCCCAGAGATCGAGGAACTATATTTGTATTTTGTCGAAACATTATGTCTGCAATAGTTATTAAGCCATACATAATTTTTTTGACAATTCTGTAAACAATGTATTTCTGATACGAATTTTTAAAACTATTCTACAATGTGTCTAGGTATACATAAAGTTTTGACTCTTTTACCAATGCTTTGAAAACCAATAACTGTAAAGTTCAGTGTCGTCAACAGGGTTATGATCCATGGGAGGGGTTGTGATAATTGTTTGTGCATGCACCTTCTTCATCAAGAAATCCACCATGACGTGGCAATTACCTCTGACTGAAACAGCCGATCTGATGGCAGCATCACCGCGGTTGTTAATATTTATAGGAAAGTACTTCTTTCTGAGTCATTGTCGGTAGACATTTTAACATAATTATTTGTACAATAATAACTTACAAAATGCACAGCTGCGTCACAATGAGCGATGTGAGGTCATAGTGACGTGCGGCGTAGACCCGAACATGGCTAGGCTTGCTTTATTTTATTTTCTATTTTGGTGCCCACCGCATGTTGTCTTAAGAAGTACCTGTGCTAAACACTTTCAATGCTTGTCAAGTATGCTAATAAAGTATAATGATGTTAAAAAACATTGCTTGAGCATAGACAGCGCCATAATTGTTTACAGGCTATTACCGGTGTTTCCTTAATTCAGATCGAAAACTGAGCACACACAAGATGCATACATGACGCTTCGCCCAATAGCTTCGCTAACACCAAATAGTTCGCGTTTAATTGTGTTTTTTGTAGAACGGATATCAACGAACTGTGTTTTAAAATTAGAGATAGCCTCAGTGTAGATTAAGAACCGCTGATTTTAACTTTTTTAACCGAGCACTTCGGAACACAGTAGTTTTATCTCCTAAATAGGTTATGTCCAAACCACTTTAAATTTGTGTCATCTGTTCTTTCCCTCAATAACATTCATTTACTTTCCAATAAGCCCAGGGGGCGGTCGGGTAGCCCATGGCAAGTGGTTAAAGCGTTCGCTCGTCACGCCGAAGACCCGGGTTCGATTCCCGACATGGGTACAATGTGTGAAGCCCATTTCTGGTGTCCCCCGCCGTGATGTTGCTGGAATATTGCTAAAAGCGGCGTAAAACCATACTCACTCACTCACTCACTCAATACGTCCAACACGTGCAAAGTCTTCCTACATGAACTATGCTGTAGACTGGATTTAATCTTTTTATAAAGTATTTAAAGTATATAAAAACATTTGGATAAGAAGATGTAACAAATTTTCTTAAAAAAATAGAAACTGATTAATTGCCTGTAGATAAAAGTAGTTATTGGTTTTGTAATAAATTTACATTACATGTTTGTTAGTTATGGAAACTATTAACTCTCCTGTTGATATTGCATATATTCATCATTTCTTAGTTATGGATGCTATTGACTCTCCTGTAGATATTGCATACATTCATCATTTCTTAGCTATGGATGCTATTGACTCTACAGTAGATATTGCATACATTCATCATTTCTTAGCTATGGATGCTATTGACTCTACAGTAGATATTGCATACATTCATCATTTCTTAGCTATGGATGCTGTTGACTCTACAGTAGATATTGCATACATTCATCATTTCTTAGCTATGGATGCTATTGACTCTACAGTAGATATTGCATACATTCATCATTTCTTAGATATGGATGCTATTGACTCTACAGTAGATATTGCATACATTCATCATTTCTTAGATATGGATGCTATTGACTCTACAGTAGATATTGCATACATTCATCATTTCTTAGATATGGATGCTATTGACTCTACAGTAGATATTGCATACATTCATCATTTCTTAGCTATGGATGCTATTGACTCTACAGTAGATATTGCATACATTCATCATTTCTTAGATGTGGATGCTATTGACTCTACAGTAGATATTGCATACATTCATCATTTCTTAGATATGGATGCTATTGACTCTACAGTAGATATTGCATACATTCATCATTTCTTAGATATGGATGCTATTGACTCTACGGTAGATATTGCATACATTCATCATTTCTTAGCTATGGATGCTATTGACTCTACAGTAGATATTGCATACATTCATCATTTCTTAGCTATGGATGCTATTGACTCTACAGTAGATATTGCATACATTCATCATTTCTTAGATGTGGATGCTATTGACTCTACAGTAGATATTGCATACATTCATCATTTCTTAGATATGGATGCTATTGACTCTACAGTAGATATTGCATACATTCATCATTTCTTAGTTGTGGATGCTATTGAATCTAGAGTACTTGTAGATTTCGCAAACATTGTATTGTTTGTTTCTTGTACGAAACTGAAACTAAAGCATATGCCCTTAATAAAGCAGGTTAATGCTTTTCAAACAATTGTAAGATTTTCAATGAAGAGGACATCTTAGTTCCATGTATGTGTGTATATGTGTCTGAAATAAAACAACTTACCGTATTTGACGTAATAAGCGCCCCCCCCCCCCCCCCCTCCCGCTCTAATAAGCGCCGATGGCGATATTTGCTAATATATTGGCTAGTGAACAATCCCAATTAGCACCCCGATTGATCAATGTACACAAGACTTATTTATTCGCGTATAATACGCATTCGTGTGTTATATGCACCCTTAATTATTGGCAATTAAATTTTGGAAAAATATATCTGTCGTATGTAAACATTTCAGGCTATCAGCATAAACCACGCAATTTATCTTTCAACTCTGTTTTTTTCCCACCAAAATAATATTCTAATAAGAGGACCATATTTATAATTTTGAGAGCGCCCTGAGCGCTTATTACGTCGAATACGGTAATCACACTATATTCAAGGAAACAAACAGTGGTCAGGAAAAAGAAAATATGCTACTTGCTGCTCGCTACTATTTTTATGCTTTCATGTCTATGCCATGCATAAATAACCGTTACTCCTTGTAAGTGCCTTCGTTGAATAAAACCTATTTATTATAACGTTTGCTATATTGTCTTTCATTTAAGAGACCGCCTCCATGGTCTTGTGGTAGAGCGTCCGCCCGGAGAGCGGAAGGTCCGGGGTTCGATCCCCGGCCGCGTCATACCAAAAGACGTTAAAAGATGGTACTTGTTGTTACCCTGTCTGGCGCTCGGCATTAAGGGGCTAAAACAAGGACTGGTCGGCTCGGAGTCAGTATACTGTGTCTGAGTGGGGTATTCATGTTAAACTGCGGCATGGTATCTCAGTGAGCTAGCACTATAAATCGGCATCAGTCCGGACTAGTACAAGCAGCCACACAAACACACACACGTACATGCACGTCGCTATATAAGTGCAATAATCTTGGACGCGACGTTAAACCCAATTTCACCTCACCTCACCTTTCATTTAAGAACAATAGCGAGAAGTGTAAACTTAATTGTTTACGCCACGCTCCAATAGCTTCTTCGTCTGCACAGTTAGGTTATAAACTGAGGAGTAAAAGAAAGTATACCGAATTTATGTAATTGAAGATTGAATGAGCTGTTGTTAATTTTGATAATGTCTATTAAAACACCACTCATTCCCGCAACACTTTAAAAGGTAATCTGTGGCTGGGTCATTTTGTGTTGACATAAATTGGTTGAACGAAGACTGGGGTATGAAATGAATTTGAATCATATGCTCCATACCATGTTTTATATGTAAATTTGTGCCGAATTTGTCTATTATTTATGTTCAAACATACGATATCTAAGACACAAACAGCAGTTGTGTATTATGCGAATTATTGCGTTTTATTTTTAAAAGTTTTAAATCAAATTATATTATAAAAGCTAGAACCAAATAGAAGTATTCTTTCTTATTCTTTGAGTGATGACTAAGCACCAGTACAGTTAATTTATTGGAAATGATATCCAATAAACTTAAAACTTTTTCAATTGATTTTGTGTGGATTCTATATTTTTCTCAGTTGCAGCTGCAAAACCAGATACTCTTTTAATTTTTAAAACTATGAGCCTAAATATTTTTTTAAAACCCCACCTTACAACAATGTATTTTGTGTGGCAGTCAAATATATATTGTTTCAAAGGTCAAATAAATGTTTTGAAAACAGTCTGTGTGTATGTGTATTCATGGGTATCGGTGTGTGCATGTTGTTGGTTGGTTGGTTTGTTGTTTAACGCCGCACTCAGCAATATTTCAGCTATATGACGGCGGTCTGTAAATAATCGAGTCTGGACCAGACAATCCAGTGATTGATATCATGAGCATCGATCCACGCGTTTGGGATGGATGACATGTATCAACCAAGTCAGCGAGCCTGACCACCCGATCCCGTTAGTCGCCTTTTACAACAAGCATAGTCACCTTTTACGGCAAGCATGGGTTGCTGAAGACCTATTGCTGTTGTTTGGGTGATTCGATGCATATGGAGATGTTTGTTCTGGCAAGTGAGTTCCCCTGAAGACCAGGAGGTCGGCCCAAAAAACTTTGAATATCATAAGTAACATGTTTTTCTATGGGTACTGAGTTCAGCTGCTCATCCAAGCAGTTGTACTATGAACCGCCACTACTTGTATATATCATGTAAAATATCAACCTGTATGAAATATCAAACACATATATTGATATATTCATGAGCTTAATACGTCGTTCGAGATAACTACCCTGTTCCATAAAGCGTTAAGTGAGTGAGTGAAAGGGAAACATTGAACAAGAGTGAGTGAGTGAGTGAGTTGGGTTTAACGCCGCTTTTAACATTATTCCAGTTATATCACGGCGTGTCAGCTTAACGTGGGAGGAACGCCGGAAGTGATGCAGGTCTCAGACGTTAACCACTTCGGTGAAACCCACGAGCACGGGTATGGTGCTGAAAAACCTAGAAACATAATCGGGGCGAACCGGGATTCAAACCCACAATCATAGGTTTCTGGCGTGCCCATGGGACGCAACTCTGCACAGCGAAACGCGGCGCCTAAGACGACTTGGCCACCCGTGCCCCCATAAAGCGTTAAGAACACACAAAGTAAAGATATATTTGTGAAACGGGTCACGGAGTGCGTAGGGGTAGCCTAGTGGTAACAGCAGTCGTCCAAAGGTCCAGGGTCGATTCCTTACATGGGTACAAGGGGAAACACATTTGTGATGTCCCCCGTCGTGATATTGCTGCAATATTGCCAAAAGGGGCGTACACTTACGGATTGCATCAATACAGTGAGTACACAATCGTATTCATTTCCCCTGATGTATTTCCCAAATAGGATAGACCCGTGAAGATTCCGGGGTAGAATAGGCCTTCAGCAACCCATGCTTGCCGTAAAAGGCGACTATGCTTGTCGTATAAGGCGAATAACGGGATCGGGTGGTCAGGCTCGCTGACTTGGTTGATATCATGCATTGGGATCGATGACATGCATCAACCAAGTCAGCGAGCCTGACCACCCGATCCCGTTAATCGCCTTTTACGACAAGCATAGTCACCTTTTACTGCGAGCATGGGTTGCTGAAGACCTATTCTACCCCGGAATCTTCACGGGTTGTGTAGTATACATGTTTTTGCTCTCATGAATAGTGACGCACGCAAAGATGCATTTGGTGCTTAAAAGTGTTTACACATCGTCTTGCTGTCCTGCGTCTTTATGCATATGAATCGGAATTCAAAACAAGGGAATCTGTCCAAGAAGCTTAAGTTAAGCTTCAGGTATATCGATGATAGGATTTCGGCGTCGTAAGAGGCGACTTACGGGATCGGGTGGTCAGGCCCGCTGACTTGGTTGATGCATGTCATCGATCCCAATTGCGTGGATCGATGCTCATGCTGTCAATCACTGGATTATCTAGTCTAAACTCGATTATTTACAGACCGCCGTCATATAGCTGGAATATTTCTGAGTGCGGCGTTAAACACCAAACAAACAAATAAACAACAAAATAATAATAATAAACAGCATCAACAAACAAAACTATGTCCCCGCCCTAATATTGCTAAAGAATTCTGAAAACAACAAAACCAATCTAAATATTTCATCATCTTCTCTGATTCGTTATCTTGACTTCAGGCATTTAAACGTGTCTCACCATTGCACCCTATTATCCTTGACATTTTAGAACCCTATAATGATCTTTCCACTGGCCAATGTGACATCGTCTTTTGCTGGTTGCCAAGTCATGTAGGCATAACAGGTAACTCAAAAGCCGATGCTGCAGCCAAAGCAGCTCTGGACAAACCGTTATCTCCACTTCTTATCCCGTACAGTGATTTCAAACCAACCATCAAATCTTATACTCGGGATCTCACGCAAAAGAGGTGGGACACCCAATTAGGAAGCAATAAACTACACGAATTGAAACCAACAATCAGTCATACCTACTTGGGTTGTCAGTCAAGACATGACGATGTCGTATTGGCCACAGTCGGTTTACACACGAATATCTGCTTAAGACAGATGAGGACGCACCTCCTAAGTGTATCCCTTGTGATGAACGGTTCATCGTCAAGCATATATTGCTTGACTGTGTGGACTTTACAATCGCAAGGGATTCACATTATCAAAGTGTAAATCTACAGGATCTCTTTTCCCGTGTCAGCGGGCATCTCATCATAAATTACTTGAAAGAAATTAGTCTGTATAATACATTTTAAATATGTATGTGAATAATTAAATGCTTGTTTTTAACTTTGGTGTGATGCTACTATTAACAGACATTATTGAAGGCTCTGTCCAGGAGGTTAAAGTACCCTAAAATTATTGTCCCACTGTGTGACACGTAATCCTATCATAATCAATGTAACTATCAACAACCAGTGTTTTTAAGCCAACTCTTTGATGAGTACTTTTTAATATTGGTTAGCATTGTGCACAATCACCAGTGGCTGAAGTGATGACATAAATCCTACTGGGATATCATGCAGGAAGCAGAGGTACTGTAAATCCCCATGATCCCCAGCGAGGTGGCCTAGCTTTGGTTACTGGTGGCCTATAGCCCGTGTTTTAAAACTGTATATATAATATTGTTATGCTCAAATATGTTTCATGAATTGTTTCTAAATATAGTATGCTCAAATATGTTTTACAACTTGTTTTTAAACAAAACTTTGCATAAATGACTAAATTATAAATATATTAACTTGGTCTCGTCGCTATATGGCTGAGATAATGCCGATGCGGCGTTAAATTTTAACTCACTCACTCACTGAAAGCGGAGAAAAACCATAATCACTCACTCATGATGAGTCACATTCATAATTGTATATTTAGCTATTTGCCGTCCTTGTGTAGTAAGGTAATGCTATATATATACCCCACCAAATATAAGGGTATTGTGCCCCCCCCCTACATTATATTGAAAGCGTATATACGGTGAGTTGGATGTATTATATATACTAGGCGAAGCATGACGACAGCTTTTCAAAGGGTGACATAGCTGAACAGTATGGAACCATTTCAAATCCTGGTCTAGATGTTGTAAATATCGCTCTGTGTGAATATTGTCTCCGTGTAATTAACGCGGTCGTTAACTGCTAGATTAACATCATAAAAGAGTAAATAAAAAATAATAAGACAGACAAATAATGTGACAGACAAATAATGTGACAGACAAACACTCTGTAAAACCCGAATCAACTATGTTAGCATTCCGAATTGGCCTTGTCCCTAATTTAAAAAGAATAGTGTCATCACTTCATATACATTATACACAGTATACATATAAGCGACAGCATGCTCAAGGTGATATTTATTTTTTCCATATTGCTCTAACTCGGTGATGCATAGAAACCAACGCGAATGAGACGTCATATCCTTACGCATTCAGTCCTTGTTGGTCTGTCAAGAGGAACACCAGCGGGAATGTGACACACCTGGATTTCTGAGGGTCACTAGATTACCTTGTTTATGGTTGGATTACAAAGCAACGAACCATGTGTCCAGGAGGAAAGATTGACAACATCAAATATTTGATGTATGCATTCAACATTGTGTTCATGGTAAGTGGAGTATTGTTCTTGAACGCCTGTGTCCCGCCCACACCATAATGCGTATGGGGATATCTAGCCCCACGCCCATGTTCTAAACATTACTAATACTCATGGGCCTCATACATGTCAAACAAATATGTTCATTAAAAATGACAAGCATGTTGGTGTGTGAAAGGCTTCATGTGATCATTGTCGTGATATGTTTATTCCAGTGCCTGTCGACTGGTATGTGTCTGACATGAACACAAGGGTGAATAATAACAAAAGTATCCATTGGACGCATTCAGTTCATGTTTTGCAGATGCAAGGAGTGACGACATTAGGTGATGAATCAGACACTAGATGAATCAGACTGCGTGGTTGAGTTTTAAATTATTTTTTCAGTTTAAGTTTTAGTCTCATGAAAAGGATTGGGAACACGTTACAATATCTTAGAACGCCCTCTCCAATAGAATTACATGTATGCCTATTTACAATTAATACATTTAATTTGTTTGTTTGTTTGTTTGTTGTTTAACGCCGCACTCAGCAATATTCAAGCTATATGACGGCGGTCTGTAAATAATCGAGTCTGGACCAGACAATCCAGTGATTGACATCATGAGCATCGGTCCACGCAATTGGGATCGATGACATGTATCAACCAAGTCAAACGAGCCTGACCACCCGATCCCGTTAGTCGCCTTTTACGACAAGCATAGTCGCCTTTTACGGCAAGTATGGGTTGCTGAAGACCTATTCTATCCCGGATCTTCACGGGTCTTAATACATTTAATGACCGAAAGGAGAGAGGAGACACTTATGTACATTAACATCGTTCACTTGAAGTTTCAGGACAGTTAATCACGTAAAGATATTTCTGGAGGTATTACGTGACCAATTCTTCTCAACCTTATAAACAAATAATCACACAATAACAGTTCAGAGCAGATCAACTTAACGTCATATAAACAAGGGATAACTTCTTCATTACGTGTACATGGCTCATGATGGCTGGTTACCCAAACCTCTGTTTCATGTGTCAGATCATACATGTGTTTGTTATCTCAATATCAGCCGTGCACGATTTTATGCGAATGGTCATACGTTAAACATGCATTCGTTAGGTGTGGACGTGTCTGTTCTTTTCAAATAGGTTGGTTGTCAATAAATGTTACTATTGAAATCAATACGAATGGTATCTAAAGATAATTTCTTCTCATTTACAAAGCATTTGTACAGTCCTATTGAATTTCAATACGCGTAAAGTCGTACCATAAATACCATTTGAAAAGACGTATTTTGCGTGCTATCAAAGCTGTGAATATTTCTTGCCGCAAGTAACTTCTACCGCCATTGTCGACTTGAGTTCAGAAATATTCGACCACTCATTCTTTGTGTCGTTTGATACATTAACGCTCTGTATACATGTACTAGGTGGTTATTCCGGTTTAGAATATGTCCGCAGCGACTTTCTCCTGTCGTAAGAGGCGACTAATGGTTTGGGCGGCAATGGTCCGTGACTTTGTGGGTTGCATGTCGTTGTAACCCAACAGCTAGGGACGATGCTCCAGAATACCAATACCCGGGGTCTAGATTCAGTTGTACTAGTAACTGAAATAGTGCCGGAACATAATGATTTGAAACAAGCAAATAAATAACAAACAAATAAACAAACAAAACCAACTGGATCCATGTCCTTTGATCATGTGTGACTGAATGTTGGTTATTAATGAAAACTAAAGTCACATACTTGCAATTGCTAGCTTGGAGTTAACACTGACAGTGTCTTCAAATTCTCGGTACCTAATCCCGACGTGAGTGAAAGAAAACAAATAGGCACGGTGTCCTTCCTTCAATTCATTTATACATGCATTCCAGCTTACTTGAATCAAAGTAACCTTGTAAATTATCGCAAAATAATATATGGGTCGGTCCACTTAACCAATGTATTACTGGGGGAATTCTAAAGTTGTATCAGTTTTAACTTCATTATATATGTTGACACGACACGATGAAGGAGTTTTCTCCTCGTGTCTTTCCGTATTGTGAGTTTTATATACTAGTATTAGGAATATAACGTATGTTCATATTCAATTAATCTAGGTAGATTTCCATAACTCTCTGCTTGTCTTGTATTCACGGGGACACGGGTGGCCTAGTCATCTAAGGCGCCGCGATTCGCTGTGCAAAGTTGCGTGTCTTGGGCACGCCAGAAACCTATGATTGTGGGTTCGAATGCCGGTTCGCTCCGATTTTGTTTCTAGGTTTGTCAGGTTTGCTCGTGGGTTTCACCGAAGTGGTAAACGTCTGAGACCTGCATCACTTCGGGCTTTCCTCCCACATTAAGCTGACACGCCGTGATATAACTGGAATACTGTTAAAAGCGGCGTTAAACCAAACTCACTCACTCACTCACTCTTGTTCATTGTTTCCCTTTCAGGTTCTTGGTCTCGGTATGACAGGGTTTGGGATTTGGCTCCGCCTTGGTCCACACACAGGCAAATACATAGATGAAGCGTACAATTTCAACCCATTGTATATATCAGCTTATATCTTCATCGGTATCGGCGCTGTTATGTTCGTGATTGGTAATGTCGGGATCTGTGGAGCAATCAGGAAAAGGCAGCAACTTCTTATGGTGGTGAGTGCGTCATTGCTTACACGTACAGGGTACATGTTTCCATATAGTGAGTGAGTTAACCTTTAAGGTCACATTGGCAATATTTCAGTCATATCCTGACGACACAAAGTTATACATTGATAAGGCATATATTTAGATTGAATACCTGTCATCGATGTACAGTACAATAACTAGATTATCACAGTTTCGATTTTAAGATTTTTGAGAACATTTAAATGAAGAAATGATCATTCATATACCATATAGTTTGTTTGTTTGTTGTTTAACGCCGCACTCAGCAATATTCCAGCTATATGACGGCGGTCTGTAAATAATCGAGTCTGGACCAGACTATACAGTGAATAATATCATGAGCATCGATCCACGCAATTGGGATCGATGACATGCATCAACCAAGTCAGCGAGCCTGACCACCCGATCCCGTTAGTCACCTCTTACGACAAGCATAGTCACCTTTTACGGCAAGCATGGGTTGCTGTAGACCTATTCTACCCCGGCGTCTTCACGGGCCATATACTATATAGAACATTCCTGTTGCTATATCACTAACGTTAACGTTAACGATTCACTGCGATAATTGTAATTTTGGTTTTAATTCATTTTTTTTATTATGTCCAATGTATGACACTTCGCTTGTCAACATGCTATCCCATAATATGACCTAAAATGGGGTATTCACACTCATTGGCGATCCGTGAAGATCCGGGGGGGAATAGGTCTTCAGCAACCCAGTCGCCTTTTACGACAAGCATGGGTTGCTGAAGATCTATTCTACCCTGGATCTTCACGGGTCTAATACCTATTGGCTATGGGGTACTACCTAGAGGCCACGAAAAAATTCCTAAAGGCCACTAAATAATACGTGGAAGTTACAACAAAAATGTGGAAGCCACGTGATAATACCTGGAGGACACGAGATAATACCTTGAGGACACGACTTTCCATAAATGCCCCGACAAAATATATGAAGGCCACGAAATAATACCTGGAGGTCACAACAAATATGTGGACGCCGCCTGATAATGGTTTGGGGGTACAAAATATTTTCTTATGTATAGGCCATGATCTAGCATGTAGAAGGCACGACATAAATTACACCACATTTTTATATATTTTAACATACATGTCGCCCATGTTGTCCGACCCACAGGTAGCACTATTCCACCCATATCACAGCGATGTCTACACTATCGTGTTTCGGCCACATATACCTTTGATTGATGATTGACAACTTCCTACGTGGCCGGAGTAGGATCACAAGCGATGACCCAAAACACCGTGCCTCACATCCGATCAATAAAGTGGCCTGTTCATTTACCACAAGCATCGGTTGCTGGGGACTTTGAATGTCAACTCTTCGTAATGCTATCTGTTTATCATTTCAGTACTTCATGAGTTTGTTCATCTTCTTCGCCATTCTTCTTGTGACTGGAATTGTCGTCTTGACTCAAAGGAAACCTGTAAGTAAACATCAGATCAGCAAAAAAATGTATTTTATCTTTTACCATTTTCAATTCTTTTTTGACTTTGCAAAAGAATCTTCCCAAACACTGCAGCCTTCTACATTACCAAGGCCGCCTCCGTGGTCTAGTGGTAGAGCGTCCACCCGGAGAGCGGAAGGTCCGGGGTTCGATCCCCGGTCGCGTCATACCAAAAGGCGTTAAAAGATGGTATTTGTTGTTACCCTGTCTGGCGCTCGGCATTAAGGGGCCAAAACAAGGACTGGTCGGCTCGGAGTCAGTATACTGTGTCTGAGTGGGGCATTCATGTTAAACTGCGGCATGGTATCTCAGTGAGCTAGCACTATAAATGGGCATCAGTCCGGACTAGCCACACAAACACACCCGTACATGCACGTTGCTATATAAGTGCAATAATCTTGGACGCGACGTTAAACCCCATTTCACCTCACCTCACCTCTACATTACTGGAATTGTCAGAAGTGTTGTATTCCTGGCAGCAAACCCTTGTACTCTCCCAATGTCAGTCAACAGATCGGGAGGTACCAAATCTAAGGCACAGAGAACAATGGGGAGTCCGACAACTTGGTATTTGGGATGCAGGCGTGACATTTCGAAATTGAGGTCCGCATATTTGCCATGTTTTTCCTGAATCTTGTCAATCACATTAGTGTAAAAAGGGACAGAATGTTCAAGGATGTAAATGATTTCATTGGATTTATCAAAGAGAACAAGATAGGTGTGTTAGACTGGATATGTCTGAGGCTGAAAACGGTCCTATTCCAAAGAATTTTGTATTTATCAGTTCCATTATTTGTTCTCCTTTAGTTGAAGGATGCCTTCCGGAATCACCTACAGAGCAAAGTCAACGCTTTTACAAATTCAGATGCCAAAACGTACATGGACAATTTTCAGAAAACAGTAAGATCATTTAAACCGTTATAAGCATTATTGAAAAATAGCAGTTCTTTCATTTTTAATTCCATTTGAGATACATAATGGAACTCCTAAGATTATGGAACAATGGAACAGAACATGCCTTCCCTTTAAGAACAGAATATCAATTACCCATTAAAGATTTCAGTTAGAGTAAATCTTAACCGCCTGGTCGACACACTGCCAAGATCTGTAAAATCCAGTTCACCCCGTAGACTTGTGTAACAATAATATAGAAGTATCCATTGTTTCTCACTGATGGATAAATCAGAGATAAATGAGTGTTTTTTAGGATTGGCATTTGTAAACTTTGATAAACCTGTCTTGCAGTTTAATTGCTGTGGAGCCGAAAGAGGCGTTTTCGATTATCGCATCGTGAACATAACCACGGACGACTGTACACAGCAGAACCACTACAGGGTAAGTGATTGACTTGCCTTTGGAAGTTTTTGTTTGTTTTGTGTTTTTGTGTTTGTGACGGTGCCATCTGTGGGACAGGATACGTTCACGTTTTCAATAACATGCTATCATCACTATTGTGATTCATAAACACATGCTTATGATATGGTCAAAATAGTACACTGAACTCTGATTTTAGCAGAGAAATGCATTTTTGGTTTATTTATACACCTATTTAACCAGAGGAAAATATAAACAAATAGCAATATACGTACATACAAGTAATTTCATTCAAAAAGAACTTCCTTTAAACGTATTGACAGCTGAGTTGAAACTGAATTGGATACGTAAACGTTTTCTTTGTTATAATAGGGATATCATTTAATACCAAAATGCCCAAGTGCATACAGCGACACATATCGTTATGGTTGATGATAACTTTTGCCTCTGTCCATAGCCTTGTGCCGACGAGTATATGAAGCAACTGACACCCAACATCGTCGTGACGATCGGAGTCGCCTTCGGCACTGCTGCTGTCATGGTGAGTGTAGTCTGATAAAAAATGTTCCTGAAAGTTGTTTTCGCAATGACATGTACAATCATATAATTTCAAATATACACTTTATCAGCAAGAATGAAAATGCAATAATAAAATGCATTCACAATGTTTTCATTTCTCATATTGTTTTTAATTCAACCTCATTATGATGGCATCCTCGTAGAAAACTTACTGATAACATTAAGCAAGTAAAGATTAATGTATTCCGGAGTTTTTGCATACACGTTAGGAGTTAGGCAAGGCTGTATAGTAAGTCCTTTCTTGTCTACTTTCTTTATTAACGAACTAGATGCAGAGTATTACACCCAGATATTGTTAAAGTATTTTTGCTGATGATGCTGTAATGATGTCGAGTACGATACCTAGATTACAAAGTCAGTTGAATGTGCTGGAACAATTTTATGCAAGATCATGTTTAAATGTTAACACAGAAAAGACTAAAGTAGTTGTACTGAGCACAGTTTGAGAGATATCTTTAGATAGACAGGGCATCGGATGTACTAAGAAACTATACATATTTGGGAGTGTATTTATCTATTAAATTATCCTGTTATTTTCACTCAATAGAAGCTGGAACTTTTGGGGATACTAAACAACCTCAGATTTATCGACAGTGTAAATTTGAAGGTGTTCTTTCAAATCTTCAACCTTAAAGCAGTTCCAATTCTTTCATATGGAGCTGAGGTATGGGGTTAACATCAGTTAAATTTCATCAACAGAGTACATTTGTATGCTCATAAGAGATTATTGGATGTCAAGGTACATATATCAAATGCAGTTGTAAACTGAGCATGTAAACTGTATCGGATGTTGAAACAGGAAGCTATTATGTATCCAAATCCCGAAGGAATATAGTCTGTGTAAAGTGTGTAATTCAGGGTATAGACGACGAGTACCATTGTTTCAAAGTCTTCGTTGTGCATACCTACCTCGGACCAATTCTCAGATCTCTTAAAGTTTTATTAATTGATGTTGCCTGTAAATATCAATGTATTAATGTCCTTAACATCTTATACATGTCACGCTATGAAGTTAAGAAATGATTAGACATGTCCCATAAACAATTTAACATTATTACAGCACATCTTCTATTCACCCAGATTGGCACAGTAGGCCTGAGACATTTCAGTATTTTTACAATACTGAAAAACTGGACAACTTGTGTTTTGGATTCATTGGTATTCTGAAGAAATCAACTCTTAGACACCTGTGAAGTATTTGGCACTGTTTACCCAAAAACATATAAATTGAAAAAGTGGTACTTTTTAGGGTTGACAATGTTGGTGGTAACATGAAAGTTGAGATATTTTTAAGCTTTAAAGACCTTCGTTAGAATTACGAATGGCATTGATCAGTAAAAGACAACTAAACACATTCCTGGTAATTCGATGACATCACTGATCTTGCATGTTGCAGATTTTAGGAATGAGTCTGTCGTTGATATTCAGCTGTGCCGTACGGAGGGCTGGATATTGATGGAAGATCCAGGTCAAGAGAAGAACAACGAATTGGTCGATAAGCAAGACTTGAAGCAACACCAGCTGTACCGCTTTATGTATCTGAATTTATATTCACAGAAATGTTTATGTTGGTTCATTTCTGGAACTTTGTCCTCGCTTTTTCATACTTTCTGTAACCTGAAATGAGCCGTTTATTGACGTGTTCAAACAGCACATATGACAACTGACAAGTCCGCAATATATTGTTATATTGATCTATGTCAGCTGTAACTGTACTGTCACAATACTTTATTCTACCATGCATTTGGAAAATACTCGATTTTGATTGGTCAGTCAGAAGTATCAAATCACAATAAACCCTCTCTGATTGAAACAACCGATTTGACGGCCGCGTCACTGTGGAAGGTGATATATTTTACAAAAGTACTTCTTTAAAGTCATTATCAGTAGGCATATTTAAATAATTATATGTACAATTAAAGACTACAAAATACAATGTTGCGGTTACTACACTATTCAGGATGTGGGGCTATACATATGGTGCAGAAAACAAGATAGAAATCAACAAAGAGAATGAATTTCAAATTTGAGGACAACAGAGAGCTTGATATTTGGCGCTTTTCTATATACGACTGTGACGTCATATCTTTTGCGACAAAGTGAGCGATCTGACGTCATAAAAGTGGTGTGCGGTGTAGAAATAAACTTTCCTCAAGGCTTGCTTAGTTTTCTTTTTGGGTGCCTACCTCATGTCAGCTTGAGAAGCTGTCGTGCTACATGTGTTCAGCGCTTGTCATAAGTTCGAATGATGTATTACATTACATTACTGCTTGAGCATATAGAGTGGCATATTTTGTTTAAAGGCTGTCGGTGATTCCGTAAATTCTGATTGACAACCCACTCAAAACACTGGACTCAACCCATGCCTCTTGACTCAATGTATTTGCTAGCAGGAAAGAGTTCACGTTTCATTTGGACATGACAGAATGGAAATAAACATGTAGAACCAGGTCACCTGTAGATTTAACCGCGCTAAATTTAAGATCTAAAACCTTAAGCTGCGCATTCGGTTCAAAATTCAATTTAGGGCGGTTAAATCTACAGTTAATCAGTTTGCTTATCTCGTAGTTGATTACTGTTACCTTCACTCGCATGTGACTTTCTAAAGGGCGAAATGTCATGTCGTTTAGGCTTCTGGACATTCGTTCTCATGTTTGTATTTTTGCTCTCATTCAGTTCTTGGATTCAATTCATTGCCCCATTGTTATGGCGGCCATCTTTATGATTATTTTTTAGGAGTAATAGATTTTCAATCATTCTTCTTTTCCCATCAGAACATGTAAATATGTTCCGAGGAAGAGCTGTGCTGTGGAATGACCCTTCCAAAACAACCCTCAATGTTTGTTAGTGTGTTTGTTTTGTTTAGTGAAGTCAGATGTTAAAAAGTTCTTGTCACTCAGACATTTTACATTCATTTAATTAATTATATCATGTTTTAATATTAATTTATCGAAGAATACTGATATCAGTTTACCTTATCATTAAATCAATTATACGTACCAGTGCATTTCATAATATATTTCAAAGAACCGTATGTATTTCAAAGTGAAATACTGATATTAGCAATGTCTTTCCTGATGTGACCATGGTATCTTATGATATCACTTTTTGGATTACCGATATTAAATGTTAATGTGGTAATAACAACTGATATCATTAATTGATTGTAAATATGAATAAATCATTTGCCGGATGTCACCAACTATTCGTCATTGTTTCACGAGCAAACGTTTCACCCGTGTTGCTGCTTTTGACTGCCAAGATTATGCAGTTCTGTGAATGCAAGGTCGTGATTTATACAAGTTTAGCGGTGGAGCGGGCTACAAAATGGAAAGGTAATGACGTTTACAACTCAGTCATAGTCAAAGATGATGTTCTGCTTTCTTATGCATCAACACACATATCGTAATTACAAATTAGGTGTCACAGGTGACCCGTGAAGATTCCGGGTTAGTATAGGTCTTCAGCAACCCATACTTGCCGTGAAAGGTGACTATGCTTGCCGTAAAAGGCGACTAACGGGATCGGGTGGTCAGGCTCGCTGACCTTGTTGTTGATACATGTCATCGATCCCAATTGCGTGGATCGATGCTCATGATATTAATCACTGGATTGTCTGGTCCAGACTCGATTATTTACAGACCGCCGTCATATAGCTTGAATATTGCTGAGTGCGGCGTTAAACAACAAACCAACCAACCAACTTATCAATCACAATGCTAGAATGTATGGTAGTGCAATATTATCAACTAGAAACATTGCTCTCCCTCAAGCTTAAATTTAATGGATTTCACAGTTCAAATATCAGGTTCGGTCCATTATCAGCTCAGGGCCCTTGTCCTCTCCACACACAGCTCAGAAAGCAATTGGGACTTATGCCAGGAAACGCTGCCTAGTCGAATTTACCAAGAACATTTCGGAAAATGTGAAGACTCCACAACACTGCAGGCTTCTGCATTACCCAGATTGTCAGATACTGTATTCCTGGCAGCAAGCCCGGGTACTCTTCCAATGTCAGTCAACAGATCGGGAGGTACCACACCTAAGTCACCGAGAACAATGAATTGTATAATTTTCATTTTCCATGACGCCCTCTACATATTCTTAGTCGTACCATGGATGGACATCTGAGTACAAAAAATACAAGCATAATCAAGTCGCTTAAGGTACTGTGTTTGTGCCAAAGCCGTTGGAGAGTCTTTATAATTAATATTGTTGGAATTAACAAGGATGATAAACATAAAAAAAACTTAAACTTACTAAGTTTTAGTTTAACGCCGCTTTGAACTGTATTTCAGTTCTATCACGACGTGTCGTCTTCAGCAGTTTGGACAGCGCGAAGTGATGCAGGTCTTAATCATTTGTGACATGTTTTGAAAAATAACAATTATTTGATTAACCAAATGCAAATTGTTATTCTGATTTATTACCAATAAGTTTTTCTGTGCACTTCCTCTTTGCCTACAAGCTGTAGGGGCGGTTGGGCGGCCTAGTGGTTAAAGCACTCGCTCGTCATGCCAAGCACCCGGGTTCGGTTCCCCTAATGTGTGAAGCCCATGTCTGGTGTCCCTCGTGGTGACATTGCCGGAATATTGCTAGAAGCGGCGTAAAACCATACTCACTCACTCCTACAAGCTTTCCCCTCTGACCCATTTCTGTTGATATCATATTCGCGAAGAATTTATGGTCAAGCTTGTAAAATCAAGTGATCATGTTATCCTTCATATGCCATTGTCATTTCCTCCATTCCTCGAGAAACAGTAATAGCTCAAAATGAAAACGAAACTAGGTTTTCCCTCTTAACTCATTATCGATCACAATACAGACAACGCATTTCACACGAGGCTGCAGTCGAACCGTGACTATTCGTCGACACAAAGAGTTATACAGCGACAGTGAAAGGTAGAGATTTAGTTTTAACACGTTAATCGTAACATACAAATGATCGTATGAGTCATATTTGTATTCGTATGTTCAAACCGATATTTCTGTCTCTCCAGCTGTGGCCGTATATAGCTGCTGATCATTTGTCAATAGGACACCCACAACGCATCAACTATTCTGGCGTACAGTACATCTGATTCTGTTGGGTTTACTTATCAGCAGCCATGTGTTCCGGAGGAAAAATTGATTGCATCAAATATTTGATGTATGCATTCAACATTTTGTTCTTGGTAAGTGCAGTATTGTTCTTGTATCCGTAACACGCATGGGGATATCTTGTTCTAGCATGTTCTGAATAGAAACTCACTGTCTGCACTGTCTGAATATGATATGTTATGTCTGGGACTCACACATGTTCTGACTATACACATGTTATGTCTGGGACTCACACATGTTCTGACTATACACATGTTATGTCTGGGACTCACACATGTTCTGACTATACATATATTATGTCTGGGCCCACGCATGTTCTGACTATACACATGTTATGTCTGGGACTCACACATGTTCTGACTATACACATGTTATGTCTGGGACTCACACATGTTCTGGCTATACACATGTTATGTCTGGGACTCACACATGTTCTGACTATACACATGTTATGTCTGGGACATAAAGTGATCAAGTGATCATGTTATCCTTCATATGCCATTGTCATTTCCTCCATTCCTCGAGAAACAGTAATAGCTCAAAATGAAAACGAAACTAGGTTTTCCCTCTTGACTCATTATCGATCACAATACAGACAACGCATTTCACACGAGGCTGCAGTTCTGACTATACACATGTTATGTCTGGGCCCACGCATGTTCTGACTATACACATTTTATGTCTGGGACTCACGCATGTTCTGACTATACACATGTTATGTCTGGGACTCACACATGTTCTGACTATACACATGTTATGTCTGGGACTCACACATGTTCTGACTATACACATGTTATGTCTGGGACTCACGTATTCTGACTATACACATGTTATGTCTGGGCCCACACATGTTCTGACTATACACATGTTATGTCTGGGACTCACACATGTTCTGACTATACATATATTATGTCTGGGACTCACAAGTGTTCTGACTATACACATATTATGTCTGGGCCCAGCATGTTCTGACTATACATATATTATGTCTGGGACTCACACATGTTCTGACTATACATATATTATGTCTGGGCCCCACGCATGTTCTGACTATACACATGTTATGTCTGGGACTCACACATGTTCTGACTATACATATATTATGTCTGGGACTCACACATGTTCTGACTATACACATGTTATGTCTGGGCCCACGCATGTTCTGACTATACACATGTTATGTCTGGGACTCACACATGTTCTGACTATACACATGTTATGTCTGGGACTCACACATGTTCTGACTATACACATGTTATGTCTGGGACTCACACATGTTCTGACTATACACATGTTATATCTGGGACTCACACATGTTCTGACTATAAACATGTTATGTCTGGGACTCACACATGTTCTGACTATACACATTTTATGTCTGGGACTCACACATGTTCTGACTATACACATATTGTGTCTGGGCATCACTGATGTTCTGACTATACACATGTTATATCTGGGACTCACACATGTTCTGACTATAAACATGTTATGTCTGGGACTCACACATGTTCTGACTATACACATGTTATGTCTGGGACTCACACATGTTCTGACTATACACATATTGTGTCTGGGCATCACTGATGTTCTGACTATACACATGTTATGCCTGGGACTCACACATGTTCTGACTATACACATATTGTGTCTGGGCATCACTGATGTTCTGACTATACACATATTATGCCTTGGCCCCTATCACACATGTTCTGACTATACACATGTTATGTCTGGGACTCACACATGTTCTGACTATACACATGTTATGTCTGGGACTCACACATGTTCTGACTATACACATGTTATGTCTGGGACTCACACATGTTCTGACTATACACATGTTATGTCTGGGACTCACACATGTTCTGACTATACACATATTGTGTCTGGGCATCACTGATGTTCTGACTATACACATATTGTGTCTGGGCATCACTGATGTTCTGACTATACACATATTATGCCAGGGACTCACACATGTTCTGACTATACACATATTATGTCTGGGCCCCTATCACACATGTTCTGACTATACACATGTTATGTCTGGGACTCACACATGTTCTGACTATACATGTATTATGTCTGGGCCCACGCATGTTCTGACTATACACATGTTATGTCTGGGACTCACACATGTTCTGACTATACACATGTTATGTCTGGGACTCACACATGTTCTGACTATACACATGTTATGTCTGGGACTCACACATGTTCTGACTATACATATATTATGTCTGGGCCCACGCATGTTCTGACTATACACATGTTATGTCTGGGACTCACACATGTTCTGACTATACACATGTTATGTCTGGGACTCACACATGTTCTGACTATACACATGTTATGTCTGGGACTCACACATGTTCTGGCTATACACATGTTATGTCTGGGACTCACACATGTTCTGACTATACACATGTTATGTCTGGGACTCACACATGTTCTGACTATACACATGTTATGTCTGGGACTCACACATGTTCTGACTATACACATTTTATGTCTGGGACTCACACATGTTCTGACTATACACATGTTATGTCTGGGACTCACACATGTTCTGACTATACACATATTATGTCCGGGCATCACTGATGTTCTGACTATACACATATTGTGTCTGGGCATCACTGATGTTCTGACTATACACATATTGTGTCTGGGCATCACTGATGTTCTGACTATACACATATTATGCCTGGGACTCACACATGTTCTGACTATACACATGTTATGTCTGGGACTCACACATGTTCTGACTATACACATATTGTGTCTGGGCATCACTGATGTTCTGACTATACACATATTATGCCTGGGCCCCTATCACACATGTTCTGACTATACACATATTATGTCTGGGACTCACACATGTTCTGACTATACACATATTGTGTCTGGGCATCACTGATGTTCTGACTATACACATATTATGCCTGGGCCCCTATCACACATGTTCTGACTATACACATATTATGTCTGGGACTCACACATGTTCTGACTATACACATATTGTGTCTGGGCATCACTGATGTTCTGACTATACACATATTATGCCAGGGACTCACACATGTTCTGACTATACACATATTATGTCTGGGCCCCTATCACACATGTTCTGACTATACACATGTTATGCCTGGGACTCACACATGTTCTGACTATACACATATTATGTCTGGGCCCCTATCACATATGTTCTGACTATACACATATTATGTCTGGGCCTCACACATGTTCTGACTATACACATATTATGCCTGGGACCCACACATGTTCTGACTATACACATATTGTGTCTAGGACTCACATGTTCTGACTATACACATATTGTGTCTAGGACTCACATGTTCTGACTATACACATGTTATGTCTGGGACTCACACATGTTCTGACTATACACATATTATGTCTGGGACTCACACATGTTCTGACTATACACATGTTATGTCTGGAACTCACACATGTTCTGACTATACACATATTATGTCTGGGTCTCACACATGTTCTGATTATACACATGTTATGTCTGGGACTCACACATGTTCTGACTATACACATATTATGCCTGGGACTCACATGTTCTGACTATACACATATTATGTCTGGGGTTCACATATCTTCTGACTATACACTGATTATATGTTCTGAATAAAAACATATTATATATGGGCGCTTTCATACATCTCTGAATGTAAACATCGTCAGCGACGTATACATGTTTATACAAGAACTGTCACACGTGTGTCTATAAATAGTACTCCGCGGAGTTGGGTTAGAATTTGACCCGAGCAATCTCTGCTTACCGTACGAAGCGACGATCTGTCAGCTTCGGTGACTTGGTCGATTTGGTGTCAACGTACCCAAACTGCGTGGATCGTTGCGATTAAAATAACTTATTAGATTGCCTGGTCCAGGCTTACTTATTAACAGGTCACCGTCATACACATGCAATATTGCTAAGTCACGAACACACTATTCATTGCACCAAGGAATAACAAACTATCAACATAGTCAGGAAGTGTTTTCTTAACGAACTATTGTTGGGTGAAGCTTATCTATCCTATGCATAACATATCTGAGTGTTATCACAACATAACGACCAGGCATGACTATTTATGTTCGATCGATATGAACTTGTCGATATTGAAAGTTGTAATACGACACGCACTGAAGGTATACGTGATAAGCCCCTTTTATGCTTGGCCTTGTTCTGTTGAACCTTATCGGGTAGACACGCCTATACATTGATTGTTTGTGCAGGTTAACACGAACGTATGGGGCTGTGTGAGTGGGAATAAGTGCAGTGAACCTCGGTTGGGTCACGCTGACCTATTCAATGAATACAACTGCCTGACGTCCACGATACTTGAAACCCTATAGTATTTGCCATCATCTTGATCTATTGCACAGGTGTTCCTGTCGTATAAGGGGCTGCAATTCGCTGTGCAGGGTTGCGTCCCTTGGGCACGCCAGGAACCTGCATGAAGGTTCTAATCCCGGTTCGCCCCGATAATGTTTTTATTTTTGTCAGCGCCATGCTGGTGGGTTTCACCGAAATGGTAAACGTCTGAGACCTGTATCATATAGGGCTTACCTCCCACATTAAGCTGATGCACCGCGATATAACTGGAATACTGTTAAAAGCGGCGTTAAACCAAACTCACTAGACATTGCATAGATGATCATATTACAGTAAACTACGTTTATAACGAAAACGCTTATAACTAACTGACGGATAAAACGAACATATTTTTTAATCCCGACCATTTGCTGTTTATACACTGTATATATGCTTATAACGAACTACGTTTATATCGAACTAAATCGTAATAACCGCAGTTTACTGTTCTGAAAGAGCGTCATATGATTTTGCCTCAAACGTTGCTCAGTGTGGGGCATTTAACTAGGACTGGGACGGGTAACTCGGGTACTCGAGTCGGGTGGGTCCTGAGTAGGACCCAGGTACCCACAGGACTACCCGGGCCCGTGGTTAGTCACGTGATATATTTGTTTAATGACAAAAGCTCACTTTTGCTCAGTTGTTACACTACAAGTCGCTAATGTTCACATTTCTTTCTGATGATGCACACATTCCTTTTGACTTGTATATGTTTGAGTAAAGATAAAGCTTCAGTTAACTTCAGTGTACGCATGATGTGATAGATTTATACATGTATCTAAATAATTTTGGCCAGGGCTGCGGTAAAACAGTTCCCAATCAGACATTATGTTCCCATGTCTTTAGACCTAAACTGGGTACCCGGGTAGGGTCGGGTAATAGGGGGTCGGGTACCTACATTTAACAAATTTCTACAGGCAACAGCCTCTCTTGTTACACCCCCCCCCCACCCCCCCCCTCTCCATGTTACGTCCCACGACGAGGCAATAGCCTGCCTCAAGGCCATCGATTCACGTCGGTTACGGTAACGTGCAGTGGCCCGTGAGGATCCGGGGTAGAATAGGTCTTCAGCAACCCATGCTTGCCGTAAAAGGCGACTATGCTTGTCGTGAAAGGCGACTAACGGGATCGGGTGGTCAGGCTCGCTGACTTGGTTGATGCATGTCATCGGTCCCAATTGGGTGGATCGATGCTCATGTTGTCAATCACTGGATTGTCTGGTCCAGACTCGATTATTTACTGGCCGCCGTCATATAGCTGAGTGCGGCGTTAAACAACGTTAGTCATCTTTTACGGCAAGCATGGGTTGCCGGAGACCTATTCTACCCCGGATTTTCACGGGTCCCGGATGACTTAGTTAAACCATAAAATACCTATGTCGTGTTTTATTATGTTTAAATCGTACTTGGTCTCTTAAGTAAGGCAACAGGCAAGTAGGTGGAACTGCCCGTCAGTTAGCCCTGTTCGGGAATTTTCAACTTTAGGCACCGTTTATAACGGCTTTCTTTTTTAGCCATCTCTAATAAAACACAAGGTTAGTCTTAAACTTGACATCTTAGAAAAGTAATATAGTTTGCCCTATGTGTCATGTTTTAAAGAATAGTTTTTTTGTTGTTTTTTTGTTTTTTTTGTGTTTTTTTTATAAAGTATAGTTTTGCCCTGAACTATTATTACGTAAAAGCACTCAGACGCCAGCGTCCTCGTGTTTTAACTACAAAAAGGCTTAGGGCAAACCTATACTTTATTAAACTAAATGGGGGTAGAGCAAACTATATTTCTAAAGTATAACATCATAATTCGAATTGAATTACCTTTGTAAAAGAGATGAAATAATGTATAATTAGTGTTGTTTTAGTTATCAAAAATATTATTCTCAGAGCTCCAGATAAGCTTTAGGTGTTGTGGGTATTTTACCCATGCATATTAAAATCATTGGGTATCAGTAATTCTATCTGGGTATTCAAATTTCTGTTACCCACTAGTTTATACACATGTGGGTATTTAAGTTAAATATTTAAAAACACTATTCATCTAGTCCCTGCAAACTGGTGTCGTGTGGGTTCGAGAGCTTTATAGGACTCAAAAATACCACAATACTTCCACAAGAAAGTGTGATGGCAAATGATCATGATGTAACTGTCATCGTGGAGTTTGGCAAGGTTGACGGAATGCCAGTTTATAATTTCAAAATAAGTTGCGGATTTGCTAATCGAATACGCAGGGTTACTTCACAATATTTTGACGATACGCACAAGTTTTATTTTTGAAGCGTATCTGTAATGTTCGTTGTGTATTTGATACGCTTGGATTATATTTTACTGCGTGTCTCTGCATTTCTGATGCGTTTTTTACGCAGAAACGCAGCTTATCTGGAGCTCTGATTCTGAAATCGATCGAGTTGGACAATAGCTGTTTAGGAAATAAAGTTTGCCCTACCTACATGTGTAGTGTAATGCAGTATAGTTTTGTTCAATTCTCTGCAGTATTCGCTCTTTTCCCAATGTACTCATGTGAATCATGTATTGCTTCATTCCAGATTCTTGGACTTGGGATTGTAGGTTTTGGGATCTGGATACGGGTTGACCCAGACGCCGGCAAATACATAAACGAGTCTGTCAATTTTGACGCTTTACAGACCGCCTCCGGCATCTTCATCGGCATTGGCTGCGTCATCCTCCTCGTTGGCGTTGTCGGAGTTTTTGGAACAATCAGACAGAGCCAGTGTCTGCTTGTTGTGGTGAGATCACGTCCTTTTCAGATACCCTATGACGAACTGGTTGGTTGGTTGGTTGGTTTGCTTGTTGTTTAACGCCGCACTCAGCAATATTCCAGCCAAATGACGGCGGTCTCTAAATAATCGAGTCTGGACCACACAATCCAGTGATTAATCTCATGAGCATCGATCCACGCAATTGGTATCGATGACATGCATCAACCAAGTCAGCGAGCCTGACCACCCGAAACCGTTAGTAGGCTTTTACGACAAGCATAGTCACCTTTCACGGCAAGCATGGGTTGCTGAAGACCTATTCTACCCCGGAATCTTCACGGGTCGACGAACTGGTTTAACAGGTATCTCCAGAAGCCCGTGCCGGTTCTTAAAGTCGACCTTATAGATAGGCTGGCCAGTCTCGGTAAAGCTAATTGCGTGTCATCGTACCCGTCCGGCACGGATTGTTGCTCTTAATATCAACCACTGCCTTGTCCAGAATCGATTGTTCCCAGGTTGCCGTCAATATTGCTGACTATGGCGTTAAACAACACACAAACCAAAATTTCGTATCCGTTCCGACCAGAATTTACACTAAGCTGACAGGCTAGGATATAAATGAAATGGTGTTAAAGATGGGTTCAGCCCAACAGCTCTTGTGACTGGTTAGTAGAACAATGTGACCCAAATAATAATTATTGATTGGTAATATGTACTTTTTATTATTTCAGTTCTTCATCAGTTTGTCCATCATCTGTGTCATTCTTCTTGCAACTGGAGTGGTGGTTCTTACTCAGATGGATACTGTAAGTACACTAAGCATCCTAAGCGGGTTAAGAACGCTGACTATTGTGACGATTCCATATGCTTAAAATCGAAAGGAAGCAAACTGACCTGGCATCACTTTATGATAGGGGCAGGAGTAATCGTCTAAACCTCACAAATGCGCTGTCCTGGGTTGCGTCCTTTAAGCATCCCAGGATCATATGATCATATATTCGAGTCCTAGGTTCGACCTAATATTGAACAAAGGTTTGTCAGCACGATAGCATCGCTCGTGGGCTTCAGGAGCGGTGGGGTAGCCTAGAGGTTAAAGCGTTCGCTCGCCAGGCCGAAGACCCGGGTTCGATTCCCCACATGGGTGCAATGTGTGAAGCCCATTTCCGTGATATTGCTGGAATATTGCTAAAAGCGGGGTAAAACCATACCCACTCACTCATGGGTTTCACAGAAACATCTAAGACCCACACCAGTCTGCCTCCCACATCCAACTGAAACTAAAATATTGTTCAAAGCGGCATTAAACCAGATTCACTTAGAAAACAAATATGTGTTTCTGTTTTTACTCATGTATTTCATTTGTACTTTTGTACATTTATTTATGTCTATCAATTTACGTTTTCTTTTCAGGTGAAAGACGCATTTGGAAATTACCTCCAGAGCAAAGTCGACGTCTACAACAGCGACAAAGATGCCAAACTTTTCATATATAATTTCCAGGAAGCTGTAAGACATCGTTTCCATTTTATGCTATCATGTGAGAAATATTGGTTCCATCTATTTTTTGTTGGAGTATATTTTGAAGTGTACTGTCCAAAATTCACCGAGGTATTTATTATGCTATTTTTAAAGGCCAAGAAAGGTCACCACAGAAAAAAAATGAAATATATTGGTTTTGTTTCAGTTCCATTGCTGTGGAGCCAAATCTGGATTTTCAGATTATCCTATCAGCGCCATGGCTGGAGCCTGTAAAATTGAGACTTATCTGAAGGTACGTTTACTCCTTTACAGCACAACCTCAATGGTCCGGACCTAGTTAGTTCGGAAAACCCACTCCTGTGACGATCTTTAATTGAGTGAGAGAGTTAGGTTTAACGCCGCTTTTAACACTATTCCGGTAATATCATGGCGTGTCAGCTGAATGTTGGAGGAAAGCCCGAAGTGATGCAGGTCTCAGACGTTTACCACTTCGGTGAAACCCACGAGCACGGGTATGGTGCTGACATACCGTGCCCCCTCTTTTACTGAACGCGATGTATAATTAAAGGTACATTATTCTTTATCAATATTCGTTACTCCGAAAATTTGATTACCCGACGCTTCCACCTGGGACTTCGTTAATATTCTGGATGAACGGGGTCGAATATCTAACTGACTCACTTCAACAAGCGAGATGGATGTTGTTCAAAGTAGGCACAACTCCAGCAATATGATGTCGGCCTGTAAATAATCTGGACCAGACAAACTAGTGATTGAATGAGAAACGAACGAGGCAATCGCGTTAGGGTGAAATTAAGGACCATCCTATCAACATTCGGCTCTTACAAGATGGGTCCTTGACGTTAATGTATTGACTCAGCATGAAAACTTCTCCGATGGAACTATCGATATGTTAATAATGCACTGTGTTGTGCAACTAAAGGTCTCACTTTCTACATAATGTTGTGTTTGATAAACATTTACCGTTTCTCTTATTTATAGCCCTGTGCTGAGGAGTTTTTCAAAACATTGGCGCCTAACCTGGGTATGACGGCCGGCGTGGCATTTCTCGGAACGGTTATCATGGTCAGTACATATTGATTGATTGATTGATTGATTGATTGATTGACGCCGGATTCATCCAGCAACATTCCATATAACGACGGCTTGTAAATAATCATGTTGGATCGAGACGATCTGACTGGGTACCAGGAAGCGCTGCCTAGTCAAACCCACCCCGAACTTTTCAGAGAATGTGAAGACTCCCCAACACTGCAGCCTTCTGCATTACCCAGATTGTCAGAAGGGCTGTATTTCTGGTAGCAAACCCGGGTACTCTCCCAATGTCAGTCAACAGATTGGGAGGTACCCATCCTAAGGCACCGAGAACAATGGGGAAGTCGGACCACTTGGTACTTGGGAAGCAAGCGCGACATTTCGAAAGCGAGGTTCTGCATAGTATTGATCCCGAGTATGTGTAACTGTTTGTTCGTTGGTTTGTTAGTTGTTTAAAGCCGCACTCAGAGCAATATTCCAGCTATATGACGGCGGTCTGTAAAATAATCGAGTCTGGACCAGACAATCCAGTGATTGACATCATGAGCATCGACCCATGCAATTGGGATCGATGACATGCATCAACCAAGTCAGCGACCTGACCACTCGATCCCGTTAGTCGTCTTTTACGACAAGCATAGTCTCCTTTTACGGCAAGCATGGACCTATTACCTGTAGTTAGTGAAGCTTATATATAACTGAAACAAATGGCTTGCATCAGATGCATAGTAAACTAGTGATGATATCGAGATACTTCTGATGGGACCCGTGAAGATTCCGGGTTAGAATAGGTCTTCAGCAACCAATACTTGTCGTAAAAGGCGACTATGATTGTCGTAAAAGGCGAGTAACGGGATCGGGTGGTCAGGCTCGCTGACCTGGTTGATACATGTTGAATCACTGGATTGTCTGGTCCAGACTCGATTATTTTACAGACCGCCGTCATATAGCTTGAATATTTCTGAGTGCGGCGTTAAACAACAAACAAACAAACAAACAAACAAACACATTTCTGATGGTACTTTGTGTTTTCTTTACAGATTTTAGGACTGGTTTTGTCCATGATGTTCTGTTGCGCCATAAGGAAGCTCCGACATGAGTAAGGCAACACGGCGAAAGAACAACAGCAGTTATAAATAATAACTCATCAATAAGTGTATCTGGTCCCTTTTTGTATGAAATAATGAGATACTGTTTTTAGATCTATTTTCTGAAACATGATCTTTATAAAACTCTTGTTCAGAACATACAACATTTTGTATTTATAAATAATAATATTCTTTGTTTAAAATTGCTAAAACAGTGCAATGATTATTTCAGTAAAAAAGGGATTGATGTTCTGAACAATGTTTCATGTATAAGAGGAGATGGGCTCAACCAAAATACTTGTGAACTCTGTTGTTATATAGTACATGGATGTGGTTTTCTTTTTTCATATCATTGTATTACTTTTATACAAATATGTAAGATTTCACATAGACACCGGCTTCTTTTGCATGCTACTTCGGATGCCATACTGAAATTATTTCTCACATTCTGAAATGATTTAAAAAAAGTTATTATGGGGTTAAGTGGTGAGGTTACGAGGTGAGGTGAAATTGGGTCGCGGCCAAGATTATTGCACTTATATAGCGACGTGCATGCACGTGTGAGTGGCTGCTTGTATTAGTCCGGACTGATGCCGATTTATAGTGCTAGCCCACTGAGATACCATGCCCCAGTTTAACATGAATACCCCACTCAGACACAGTATACTGACTCCGAGTCGACCCGTCCTTGTTTTAGCCCCTAACGCCGAGCGCCAGACAGGGTAACAACAAGTACCATCTTTTAACGTCTTTTGGTATGACACGGCTGGGCCGGACCTTCCGCTATCCGGGCGGACGCTCTACCACTAGACCACGGAGGCGGTGTTATGGGGTTGAGTTGTCTTTAATTATTATACACATGTAATTGAACGGAGAAGAAAATCTCTTCATTTTCGAAAACTGAAGAAATCTCCACATGCCGAAGTATTGTATGTTTATTTTGGGAGTTTTAGGATATTTTGCTTCAGGATCGGCATGAAAGATTATGGAAACATAGAAGATATATTTATAGACAGAAATGGCTCATGCGTGTCAGTTTGTTTGTTGTTTAACGCTGCACCCTGCACGCTGGAAAACGTCAAAACAGTGTTTATAGACGTCAGTGCAATCATCATAGGTAACACTATTTTTTTAGTACTGAAGATTTAGTTTGGCGACATTTATATCCAACGCCAGACCAGGTAGCATGTACACTTATATATGGAATGCTCGTTTTTCAACAATTATCTGATATTGTCATCTTGCCGTCAAGTTTGTTTGTTGTTTAACGCCGCACTCAACAATATTCCAGCTATATGACGGCGGTCTGTAAATAATCGAGTCTTGACCATACAATCCAGTGATTGATATTATGAGCATCAATCCACGCAATTGGGATCCGATGCCAATGTATCATGATGAATATTGCTTTATCTCATGTATCCCACTCCCTTGGGAATTCCGGGGCAGAACAGGCCCCCAGCAACCAGTGCTTGTAAAGAAACACGACCCGATGGATCGGGTGGTCAGGCTCGGTGACTTAATAGATTGCGTGTCATCACTGGATTGTCTGGTTCATACTCGAATATTTACGGGCCACCAATTTATAGGTGGAATACTACTGAATGCGGCGTTATACAAACAAACAAACACCAGTACACATTTCAAAGTGTGCGACTTTGTTTTACTGCCGTTTTGAAATGCATTTCAATTACATGTATATACAGCGTGTCAGCTTTTTGTGTAACGTATTGCCTCGTCAAATATATGTAATACCTTTGTAAGATTTCGTCCATGTTGGACATACCAAAACGCAGGTATGTACACTGAGTATGTTATTCATATATATGCAGGAGAGTAAAAAATTAGGACAAATTATGTTTTGCTCTATCTTCTTGAAGTATTTCTTTTTACCTTCTTGAAAGAAATTGAATTGAATAAATATTTCAATCTCTGTGTCGGCCTTTTATTATAGATACATATTGTCGTATATTACTGGAATGTTGCTGAGTGCCGCAATATACACACAAAACACTTTCATGACTCGTTATCACAGAGTCGACAATACTGTTCTATATATTAAAATAATAAAGTCCACGTTAGTCCAATATCTTCTTTATATCAGTTTCAGACATAGTACTTTCACTGTCTCATGTCAGCTCTTCAGTGTATCTGACAATGGACAAATAACTTACGCCTTCACATTTAACTTGGGCGCGTATTTAGGAATGAAATGTTGCTCTCTTTGAAACAATGTAGGTTCATGATCAAAATTAAGCTTATATAGCGGGAAAACTAAAAAGCTTAGCTTTAAAAAACTAAAATGTAAAGGCGTAAGTTATTTGTCCATTGTCACCTTGGTATTGTGACGTCATAGTTCTCCTAAACGACGTGATTTCATCAGTCAGGTCATTCGTCACCACTCGCCCTTTTCCGTAACCTGTCAGTAAAGTGTTGCCATGTGTTAGTTAATCGTGAAAAAACAATCTGATAATAAAATGTGCATGCATGTAAAAAGATATTCTCACACACCTGTCAGGTGAAAGAATACATGGGTGCATAGTAAATGCATTCATGTTAACCACATAATGATGTTTTCATTATAATTATTACATCTTTACATCATTAAATAATTTCCACAAGAAAATATGGTGAATATACCAACAGTTGTTGACATACTATATTCTGGCGATGCGATCATGTTTATTAGTATCAGAGTATGCATTCTTTCAACTTGGTTGCAATGAAACTTACTTCAAACTTTGGCAAACTGGAATGGGCTGAAAACTGTAAGAAAGAGCTAGCCATATATACTTTGCTGTCGGCATGATTCTTTATGCCTGCTGTTGTGAACAATCTCTGCACTGCTGACACCTTATTATTGTTGCAGTGCAGAATCATGCCATACATTGTGGCAATTGTTGCAATCTTTGAACTTTGAGGTATCTTATCACCTAGAGCTGCCTGGATAACGTGAAATAACTGCGGACAATATTCTTTCAGTTCACAGACAGCAGCAGCTAACACATTGTGTCTGACAAGTGGTCTGGAGTCTTATTATATTATACACTCTTGCCTGGGGAACACATGATTCTAATTTGTCCAGTGAGGGCTTTGGTATCACCTTCAAGTGTGACAGGTACTTCCACAAGTTTTACTGCAGAACACTGCTCCTCTTTATTTGCGTCGGGCTGGGCTGATATCAAAGGCTTACAGTACTTGTGTTCGACTTGACTCTCTTCTGTAGGTCTACGGGAGTCCGGTGATGTGTCCTGACTTGTTGCTGCACCAGTGGTAGCACTGACAGACTCAGCTATAACTTCAGCCACTGTCCTTCGCCTTGGTTTAGTTGGGAGTAACTTCCTCTTGGCTTTTACCTTTGGTTTTAGTACTGTGTCAGATGGGTCTGTGCTAGATCTATCGTCTCTGGTGTCCTCACTAACGTGTACTTTTTAACTAGATGCCCCAGCTGGCGTTCGGGCTTGTCTTTTAACACGTTGTAGTGTAGACAATATATGTATAGCATGTTGCGAAGCAGCTGATCTCAATTCATGATAATTGTTTATCTTTGTAAAACAAGTCGTACGCAGAAACAAATAAGGTTGGTCTTTCTCATACAAATCTACACTGAAAAAGTCTTCCAAACGATCTATGACTGTTTGTTTGCCACTTATCTTCCGACCACTCAGTTGGAACAGTCTATATGGGTTTGTACATCCCGCCAAACACAGCTTACTTTGTGTTTTGATCGGCGTTGAATGGATCGGCGTTGTGTCGGCAGCCATGTTGGAAGTAGTCCCACAAGTTGACAATTCTTTTAGCTTTGCCCGTTTGCGCTTAGACGGAACCCAGTCGCAAAAATGGCCACGAGAGGGGCACGAGTCGCTATTCGGCTTGTCCCGGAATAACACGAGTTGGTCACGAATGCCGACAGGTGTATACGTATTAAATATACAAAAAAAAGAGTCCAGATATTCGTGCTTTTCAAAACTCTTTTATCCACACAAGATCTTTCTCCGTTCATCGTGTAATTACACCAGAAGAGCCGTTGAACGGCGAAAGATCTTGTGTGGATAAAAGAGTTTTGTCAAGCACGAATATCTGGTATAGCTATACCACCACCTCCTCGTCACACGCTACGTATTCCCTTGTAGTATTGCTTCCTTATGTCCCTATGTCCCTAATACACTTGTACTCGCATCACAGGAATCCCGGGCTATAAACCCCCAGCTACCTACATATATGCATGTCAGACTCAGTGATTTGGCTGGGTGCATGACATCGTACCCCGACGGCTTTGGACGTCGCTCCTAATATCAACCACTGTTACGTCGACACCAGACTCGATATGTCTCACTGCAGCGTTAAACAATATGCACATACTCTCTAATGTTCCAGGGAAGGATTAGAACTTGGACAGATATCGCACAGTTTATATCGAGAATATGTGAATAAATGCCACAAAACAATTTCCATAATGATAAAATATCTCGGATGCCGACTATATCATGAGCATGCGTTTATGAATCACTCTAAAGTCGTGATGATACATGGCATTCGCGAAAAGGTGAGCGTATCGTACCCCACCGGTGGCTCCCGTAACAAACACATGCAAGGGCAAGTCATGTGCATCCAAAGCATTAATGAGGCAAACAATCGCTTAAGTCGGTTACACTCCTTGGGCGTTTATGGATATGATAAAGGGAGTGGTGATGACATGTTTATCTTAGGGAAGAGATGCAGTATGACATTTAGAAGTGTCATATTTATCTGACGACACGGCGGTTGGGAGGAGAGATAACACCGATCTGCCCTACTCACAAACACTGCAATGTTGGTAGAACGTAACCTTTCATATATATTTTGAGGCTTGGAAAAATAATTCAATGCATATAATTTTATTTTTCGCTCGTCAGATACCTAAACTCGAAGTGTTTTTTATAACTTGCCACTTGTATAACTTATTTTTAAATGTCACTGTCGTGTGTGATTAGGCACACATCTGCGCCATCCACAGCTGACTCCAACTGAGTTTGCCAGCATAATTCAAACACGTGAAAAGTTGACACGTATTAATTTGATACATCGGCCCATCTTTAGAATTCATAGATCCGTTCCACAATGCTATCGTAGAGCTAAGGTTATCGTAACTCCCATACTTTAACATAGACTCACGGTCGTCGTGTGGAACGGGACCCTGCACCGCAACGTGTACAATCACGTCACTATAATTTAATTTGTGAACCTTTGTTGCAATATGCATAAGCTGCTCTCGGTGATCTATCATTTCTACACAATATGCCACTGAATAAGCCTAGGGATGTTAAGAGTTTTCAATATTTGCAAGTGAAACGTGTTCCCGCCGTACATAAACACGCGCTTTGGGATTAAACACCGCGTCATGCCAGCTTATTGTTATTAAGCGGATGGTCTCTTAACAGGCCAGTAAAAAAAAAGAAGTAAAATTAGAAGAAATGCCTTTCAAAGACAAAAATACTCAGGTTGAAATTTAAATTTAACAATGATTTGTTATCTTTAATGGAATAGTATCGTCAAGTTTTACGGAAATGAGAAGTTGAATGGTGTTCTCTACATAGTTCGGAGATGAACATCAGAAGTTTTCAGATTATATCCGACCCGTGAAGATCCGGGGTAGAATTGGTCTTCAGCAACCAATGCTTGTCGTAAGAGGCGACTAACGTGGTCAGACTCGCTGACTTGGTTGATGCGTGTCTTCGTATGTCTGTTGCGTGGATCGATGTTCATAATGTCAATCACTGGATTGTCTGGTCCAGACTCGATTATTTACAGACCGCCGTCATATAGCCGGAATGTTGCTGATTTCGACGTTAAACAACAAATAAACAAACAAATTATTTAGGTGTATCAAATACTCAATAACACTAGATAATGGAGTCAGGGCAGGACAAACCAGTTAGAAACCCAAAGCAACGTCCAACACCATCAGGTGTCCCCAGGACAAGCAATAGCATACTGGAGACATGTTCCAGGTTCCCGTTGTTTATACCTTTGTCATTGAAAGGAGATAACTATCATTTCTTGACAAGAATATCATAAACATAGAACTATGAATATATATTTATAAAACACTGTCTTGATTACATATCTTTCAGTTGACCTTAGTAGTAACACAAGACATTATTTTGTTTGTAAGACAGCGACTTGGGAAGATGGCTAACTATACTTTTGTGACTTGGCTGATTGTCTATTAGTGTGCCCGATGTCGTTGGTCGTCCTCTTGCGGTTGACCATTTGTTTGACTTCTCTTGACCAGCCGGCGTGAAATATCTGGTGAGGTGAGGTGAAATTGGGTTTAACGTCGCGTCCAAGATTATTGCACTTATATAGCGACGTGCATGCACGTGTATGTGTGTGTGTGGCTGCTTGTACTAGTCCGGACTGATGCCGATTTATAGTGCTATATACACAGTATACTGACTCAGAGCCGACCAGTCCTTGTTTTAGCCCCTTAATGCCGAGCGCCAGACAGGGTAACAACAAGTACAATCTTTTAATCTTTTTGTATGACGCGGCCCGGGATCGAACCCTGGACCTTCCGCTCTCCGGGCGGACGCTCTACCACAAGACCACGGAGGCGGTCCGTGAATTATCTGGACCGTTATAGCTCATATATTTCGCTTAAGATGACCTAATGGATAAGGCGGTCCGACTCGGTGACTCGTGTCGTGGTACCCCGACCACGTTTATCGTTGCTATAATATCAAGCACTAGTGTGTCTGGTCTAGAGTCGATTATTTACCGGCCACCGTCAAATATTGCCGAATGTGACGTTAAACAACAAATAAATAAAACCCAACAAAACGTACATCGGGGTATCATTTTACTCAATCTGATAAACTGAACACGTTTAATATGATCTTAAGTTCGGATCCGATCGGATTTAAACCAAACACGTTTTTGTCAGATGACATA